TTATGCACATTTTAGATTTTGACCAGCCGGTTATATGTTACTGCCAAAAAACTTTTTAACTTTTTAAAGGTGTGCTTTGACTTTGGGCCATTGTAATAGGAGATATGAAAAATAAGCAATTTGATAGTAGGCACTAGATCATGCCATCACAACTTACAAAAGTTCAATTGAACGGAGTGATAAACCTAGTTGAGCTGCCATAGATTCCTTCTAAACAAGAATATTATTTATCTGAAACATAGTTTAAATTTAGCCAACTAATGTAAGGTGTAGACTCTAAGGTGGCGAATGCATCCAAACGAATTCATCGACTAACACGTCAAAATAAAAATGTGACACAAATAAGGGAAAAAAAAAATATATATATATAAATATATATATATATATTTATATATTTTTTTTTTGTAGAGCAGGTCAGGGCTCAGGCTCCTTAATTCTTAACAAACGTTACATACGGGCACCAATAGGGAATCGAAAAAAGGTCACATATCCCAGTCCTGCTACATAAATTACTGTATCTGGTACCAGTGTATAGGTTACACTACCCTTGATACACTACAGCTGTTACCACCAAGCATAGTTATTTTGTTACTTTGTTATTATTGTAAGCGGTGTGTTCACCCTAAATGTATGATATTTGACGGATATATATCAGTTTAATAAAGACTAATCAGTTATTTTGATTATATCTTAGGTGTATCCTTGCTCACCAAAAATAAAGAAGTACAACAACAACAAAAAAAATAAATAAATAAAAAAGCAAGATATTGCATACTGCTTAATGTCAATTAATAGTTCATTTAAAATATGAAAAACTCCTTGGCGGACGGATTACTACTTATGTTGAGCTTGCAGTGTCAGTGGTAGCCCTTTATGTTGCATTGTTCATATGTATGACTTGTTATTTGGCTTTTGCACAAGCCACTATGATGATGTTTTATCACTGTGTCTGCCAAGATGGAAAAATAAAAAATATCTAAAAAAAAAAAAATTACGTTTTTAAAGAACAAATGTGCAGGTATCAAATGCACCTTTCGCAGCAATTTCTAAACTAACTCCTGCAAAAAGAATTTAACTGGACATTTGGGGGAAGGAAACTAACTAAAATTTGCCGCTTTCAAAAGACACAAAGTAAAAAAATGAGGAAGAAGTGTTGTAAAAAAGTATATTCTGTTTGGTAGAGCTTAAAACAAGGTCCAATACACAGTCCAGGTTTTGAAGGGCAATCGGGACAGTCTGTCCTTTTCCCTTTTTTGTAACAGACTCAGAGTTTCTGGGGATTGGCCTTTTTTCTCAGTTGGGGGTATTTTGAAACGTGTAGCCCCAATTCTGGACTTCTCTAGCACTGTTGTTGGAACTTGACCATCTTCATACATTATAGTTGAAATCAGCTTGAGCTGAAAGTGGAGAAAGGTGGTTCTTCCTGGATTCATTTAAAAAAAAAAAAAAGTCAAAATGAATTGTGCGTTGCTACTTGCATAAGATAGATAGCCACCTTTTTATACCTGGCTTTCGTCTTTTTTTATTTAAAATCAGATATGGCTGCATCAGCCGATCAGCCAAATCAACACCCCCTATGGGCCTGTTATAAACCCTGATGCAAACAGGTTTGGTCTGTACTCTGCCTTGGATAATGACGCCTGACATTGTTTCGTCATGGATGGTGGTTATCATGATAACATCCTTCCTGTCCTTAAATTTTATTGCTAACACTTCACCTTTGCACACAGCTTTGCATTCTCCTTTTTTTAATTTGGCCTGTATGAGAGGTCTAGCGAAATCTTTTGCATTTTTTCTCACAGTGACACAGGCCAGTGTCTGCAAACCATAAAGTGTTTGAAACAAACAGACACTGCTATAGAAATTGTCCACATATTGTCCATATAAATTGAGCAAGGGTATTAGTAGGTCCAAAAATGTTTTCCCACTTGTCCCCAGACAGTCAGGACAGCCAGGATGGTCCAGTTGACAATCTTTCCCCTCATTTACGCGAAAGGCAAATGTATAGCCACTGTCACTCTCGCAGAGTTTATAGAATTTTACGCCATATCTAAAGCGCTTTGAGGGGATGTATTGTTTGAATCCTAATCTCTCTTTATATTTCAATGAGGATTCATCAATTGATACATTTTGGTGGGGGTATAAACTTCAGAATTTTTTTTTGAAGATGGTCTACCAGTGGGCGTATTTTATAAAGCCTATCATATTGGGGGTGACGCAGCCGGTTCTCCAGTACCGAAGTCCTGCAGACGCAGAACCTCTCCCCCCCCTGGACCATTGGGGGTCATCACAATCCACCTTGGCACCCCCACAAGCCCGAAAACCTGCATGAGAGCCATTGCCGGGCGGGCGCGGGCAGGAGGAAGAAGCAGTATTCCGCTCACCTAATATGGCAGCAGGCAGCACCGGAAATACCCCTGTAGGCAATGCAGCCTCAAACTCAGCAGCTAGGGGACCGAGACAGACACTGCACAACTGCGGTACCTGGAAAAGGTCAGTGACAACACCCCACAGACACAACCCTGAGGGAGACAATGAGGGGGAAAAAGCACCAAGAGAGACCCTACTCAAGCACCAACCGCCGACGCACAGAACCTTAAGGCTGCCAAGGGACCTGGCGACACCCTGTTATGACCCCATCCCAGCCTCCACCCAGGACTAATAAATAAATAAATAAATAAAGGGACCCAACCTCAAGCACCGGCGAGGACCTACCTGGCATGAACGGAACCTGGGACTAAACGTGACCCACCACCCCTCACCCAGCCACACCCACATGCCATATAGCACCGCAACTCCCATGCCACATACCGCCTCTATTCGCGCTGGCAGGAGACACCTGGCGTGTAGCTGACTCCAAATGACAGTGCTGTGGCTGCCACACTTATCCGGGACTCTAACCCTCCACAGCTGTTAGAGGGCTGTTAGAGAGCCAGCACCGCTACAGTTATTACAAATCATCTTCCCGTATATGTATGTAATTGTTTTTCTCCTTTTTGCACCAACGGTTAGAAATTATGAGCCCCCCTTCTTCACCCCAAAGTCAGTCATATATATATCTATATATAACCAATAACACCACAGCTAATGTCTGATAGTAAGCCAAAAATGGAAACATACAGGGTTATTCTCTTGTCTAAAGGAGAATTTATTGCACCATGGAAGTTAAAATGCTAAGCCATATTAGCCAAGGTGAAAACATGAATTTGAATTTAAAAAAAAAACCTCTCTAACAGAAAAAAGACAGTTGGCCAATATTATAAGATTATGATTCCTTATTTCCATTTTCAAGAGCTGCCTGCCATATTCAGACACACAGTGTAATAGCCTGACTTATCTCACTGTGATGTCAGACAGTGACATCATCATTGTTACCTATACAAACTCCATGCATGTTACCATCTGCACAGAGCTCAGATAGGCTTGTAATAGTGAACTGTGCTTGTCACTGTACCTAACTGAAGTGAACACTTATTGATTTATTGACTGATTATGGACGGTGGGCAAAGGAGGAGAAGCCAAAGAGTCCGTAATAGACAGGAAGAAGCAGCTCCCCGATCAAGTAAGTGATAGCTACACATTTGCACTGCATACTGCATACTATTCTTACACAAACACCAAATACACAACAAAGTATACTATTCTTACACAGACACCAAATACACTACAAACAAAATATACTATTCTTACACAGACACCAAATACACTACACACAAAGTATACTATTCTTACACAGACACCAAATACACTATAGGCGAAGTATGCTAGCCTTACATCGGCTCCCTTAAATAAACTATACATGGTCATAATCACCAGACACATTTCATGTAAAAGGGACAAGTGTTCAATGCTATAACTCTCACCCATAGAGAACATTCATAAGAGCACTATTGTCTCATGCATGCAAAGCCGCTTAACCATGTTTCGGGGGAATGTGCTTCAGTCTGGTATTAAACTCTGTTAAAGTACATCCACACTTCCTTTCTCTCTTCAGAAAACATTATGAAAATACCAGTAAATAGCATTTTCTCTAGAATGTTAAGAAAAAAAACAAAAGTTAAGTAATTCCTAAACAATCTTGTCATCTTTTAGCCACAACACAATCTTAAAGCAACACTATAGTATCAGGAATACAAAACTGTATTCCTGACACTATAGGTCTAAATAATATATGTTGCCAATATCACAGTAAATGTCAGATAGTAAGCATAAAAATTGAAACATCCGGCGTTATTTTCTAATCTAAAGGAGCATGTAATGCACCAAGAAATTGGAATGCTAAGCCAACGAAACTGAGACAAAACCATGAATTAGAGAATTTTTCCAATTTGGCTATTCTGATATGAAGTCTGGATGCCATATTCCACAGTTTTGTGTAAAAACCTCTCTAATGGAAATAGGACAGTTGGCCAATATTATAGAATTATGACTTCTTTTCATTTTCAAGAGCTGTCTGCCATATTCAGACACACTGTGTAATAGCCTGACTTATCTCACTGTGATGTCAGGCAGTGACATCATCATTGTTACCTCTACAAACCCCATGCATGTTACCATCTGCACAGAGCTCAGATAGGCTTGTAATAGTGACCTGTGCTTGTCACTGCATCTAATTGAAACTAACATTTATTGATTTATTGACTGATTATGGATGGTGGGCAAAGAAGGAGAAGCCAAAGAGTCCGTAATAGACAGGAAGAAGCAGCTTCACGATCAAGTAAGTGAAAGCTACACATTTGCACTATTCTTATACAAACCGTGTATCTTTTGTACATCCTTCTCCAGCATGCTGACAACAAACATTATTTATGCACAGTTTTAATATTAGCAACCACTTGCTAATGTTGCTGGAGCAGGTGGACTTATACCTCTGGAAATGTTATCAGGTATTTCAATATGAGCAGCATTTCACACTGCACATAACTTCAAAACACTTAGGGGGTCTTGGTTTGGCAGTAACTCATTAACTATACTTTTTTGATTAGGATCTCGGGGAAGGCATGCTAATCCCAGAACAAACCGATCAAGAACGCCATCTGGAAGACAAGCAACAAGGAGGGGTGAGAGAAGCCGGAGTCCTCGTGTCCCTGAAAGACGTCCCACCAGAAATGATGGACAAATCCAGGGAATGCGAAGGGAACGCAGAGGAAGGCAAGATAATTCCCCAAGACGGGGAACAGACAGAGCAAGAAGATGGAATTTAAGGACTCGCAGGCGCAGAGACAGATCTGAAAGTGAAGGAGAAGATAGGCAAAGACCAGGGAGAAGCAGATCTCCCTTAAATCGTAATGATGTGCCACCTCCTCCTAACGTATATAATGCTGGGGAACTGGAAATTGTAGGAAACCAGCCGGCTGAGAACAATGAAGGAAATCGCCAGCCAGGGCCTGCTCAAGAGCCTTCACAACCTGTTAATGCCCAAGATGTGGATAACAATGAGCCTCCCCTTGCACAAAATGAGGACCCTCCCCAACCTATTCCACAGGGAGCTCAGGGAGATGATGAGCAGGATGAATGCAGCATTTGCTTGAGTGCATTTGATCCTGCTGAGGAAATCATGCTGCTGCACTGTGGTCACAGATTCCATATTGAGTGCATACAGATGTGGCTGCAGGAACATTGCACCTGTCCCATGTGCAGGGCAGTTGTTATAATCTAAAGAACAAAGTCTAGCAAAATGGCTGCTTGTTCTGACTTCAACCTGCAAAAAAGGTATGGACCTTTTAGAATTATACCTATGCACTATTTACCCTAGAGAAAAAATATAGAGAGAGATTTAGTGATAGAAAGATGTCATGATATTATATAGGTTACTATAAAGTAGGTTTAAACTAAAGGTATAATGTCTGTCCACTAAGTTTGGTTTATTCAAATAATCCTTCCAATTAAATATCAGATTCTGTTCCATTTTCAGTTTATACCGATATGGCTGGAGAAGATTTTCACCTATCCCAACTGCAGAGTGGAAATAAGTATGGATTTCAAGCTGCAATAAAGGTGTGTACCTCTAAAATTATACTATATCCTAAAACAGAGAAAGGGGTGTGGGTGGGAGAGAGATATAATTTCATAATTAATAACTAGAGTCTTAGACTAGGACGCATTAATCCCAAAACCGATAAGAACATAAATTCCCTTATACAGAAAGCAATCAGAAAATGTCACTTGTATATAATAATAGGATTCGGGTTACATTATAATGTCTGTCCAGTCAGTTTAGTTTATTCAAGATATAAATAAGGTAACAGTCAGCAGAGGTGTGATTGTTGATGAAACCCCTTTGTAATCATAGTTACACGAACTTACACAAACTGTTCCAACCAAGGGAAACTCCATGTCAGCGCTACAGAAAGACAAGGAGCAAAGTGACACAGAAATAGAAATTAACAGACAATCAAAATGCTGAAGAAGAAGAAACTTGGCCACAAGTGACTTCAATACTTGTCCAGAAGTAATAAAGGTATCCCAGCCAAACATCTGTCTTATATGGCTTGCGTAACATTACAGCCTGAGCCATGTTCATGGGACAAGATGCAAAGACTGCCAATCAATAAGAAGCAAAGTGGAATAGAGCTGCTAATAAAGAGGTGGCATCTCTTAGTGAAGTCCAGGCATGGACACTTTCAGAGCCACCTCTAGGTAAATGTGATATCAGATGTAAATATGTCTCTAAAGCCAAATATGATTCTGAAGGCAAAGTTTGTAGGTACAAAGCAAGTTTAGTGGCAAAAGGGAACTCACAAAAATAGGGTGAGGATTATGATGCTACTTTTGCCCCTGATGCAAAACAAAGTACTCTCAGAACAATGATGACAGTGTCGGCTTTACGGAATATGATTGTGAAACATCATGATGTCACAGCAGCCTTTCTTAATGGTGATATGGAAGAGGAAATATATATGGCACAGCAAGATGGATGAAAAATGGAGAAAAGCATCTGGTGTGCAAATTACAAAAATTCCGATATGGACTTAAGCACACAGCACAAGCATGGAATGTAAAAATAAATAAAGTTCTGATAGATGAAGAATGCATATGAAGCAAAGCTGACCCCTGTGTATATTCAAAATGTGTAGATTCTGAGTATATGTATACATTACTCCATGTGGATGACATGATAATTACACACAAAAGGAATGAGGAAATTGCAGACGTGACTGTAGTGCTTAATAAGCACTTTGAGACTAAAGACCTTGGAGATGTGACATATTACCTAGGAATCAAACAGGGTGAGGAGGATGGCAGCTTCCTGTTGAACCACAGATCTAAAACTGATGCAATTCTTCAGCAGTTTGGCATGACCGAAGCCAAAGAAGCAAGCACTATGGACACAGCATATCTAAAGCTTGAAGGAGATCTTCTTCCTACTAATGGTCTGTACAGGCAAGCAGTGGGGGCATGGTATATATTTCAACCACTACACATCAAGACATCACAGCTTCCATGTCGTATCTCTGTAGATGCATAAGTGAGCCTCGTCAAAGGGACTGGACTTAACAAAATAAAATTTAAAAAAGAGTTATTAGGGATCTCAAACAAAGACTTGAGTCTAAACCTGTCTACAATAGGTGACTTGAGCTTCATAGGATATGTGGACTGTGATTGGGCAGGTGACCTCAATATTCACTAATCTACAATTGGATAATTGTTCAAATTAGGAAATAGTCCTATGTTTTGGTCCAGCAATAAGCAGATCTCAGTGATGTTGTCTTCATACATTTCTGCTGCCTATGCCAGTCAAGAAGTTGTTTGGTTGGGTCAGTTGCTTGAAGATCTTGGAGAGCCAATGTCCCAATCTACAGTCTTATATGAGAACAATCAAGGATATATTCAAGTTGTGAGAAGAACAACGCAAGGACGAAACATATTGATTTTGGACATTACATTCATGATTTGTCATGATATTACATAGGCTACTATAATGCAGGTTTAAAATAAAGGTATAATGTCTTTCCACTAAGTTTTGTTTAGTCAAATAATCCTTCCAATTAAATATCAGATTCTGCTCCATTCTCAGTTCATACCGATATGGCTGGAGGAGATTTCCACCTATCCCGATTGCAGAGCTGAAATAATTATGGATCTCAAGCTGCAATAAAGGTATGTACCTCTGGAATTATACTATACCCTAAAGGAGAGACAGGGGCTTGGGTGGGAGAGAGATATCATTTCATAATTAATAACTAGAGTCTCGGACTAGGACGCGTTATTCTCAAAACTGATAAGCGCATAAATCCCCCCATACACAAAGCAATCATAAAATCTTACTTGTGTATAATAATATTATTCAGGTTAAATTAGAAAGCTATAATGTCTGTCAGGTCAGTTTGGTTTATTCAAATAATCCTTCTAATTAAATATCAGATTGTGTTTCATTCTCAGTTCCTACCGATATTGCTGCAGGAGATTTTCACCTATTTCAACTGAAGAGCTGAAATAATTCTGGAATTTAAGCTGCAATAAAGCTGCAATAAAGGTATGTACCTCTAGAATTAGACTATACCCGAAATGAGAATCGGGGGCATGGGTGGGAGAGAGATATTATTTTATAACTGGTAACTAGAGTCTCCTACTTGGATGAGTTATTCCCATAACCGATAAGCACATAAATTCCCCCATACATAAAGCAATCAGAAAATGTAACTTTTATATAATTATAGGATTCAGATTAAATTAGAAAGCTATAATGTCTGTCCCCTCAGTTTAGTTTATTCAAATAATAATTTAATTAAATATTTCATTCCATTTCATTCTCATGGCTGCAGGAGAGTTCCATCTATCCCAACCGCAGAGCTGAGATAATTCTGGATTTCAAGCTGCAATAAAGGTATGTACCTCTAGAATTAGTGAAATGGAAAAATCAATTAAAGTATTGATTATTTCTTTGTGTATCTGCCCCTGGCCAAATCAATGAAACTATGCGTGCACGCTCCCTGAAGTAATTCACACCAGACACAGGTTCCAGGTTGTTGAATAACTTGAGGAAAGTTTATTCAGAGGGGACGGCAGGTCCCTTTTAAAGCAAAATTACATCATAAGCATTGTCAGAGATAACATGGAATAATACATCAATAATTGGTTAAGTGTTAAGTGTTTTATTCAAAGCACGTCCTACAGGGTGTGCCTTCTTATGTCATTACTGTCGTCATGGAGTTCTCCCCCAGGATTCCAGCGCCATCTTGGAAATTAGAGTGTTTGGTCGATGGGTGGGGTACTCCTGAGTGACATCTAGTGGTCAGTTTAGTAATTTATTGAATAATATTAAGTATAACTAAATGGAGTAAATAGACATTTTACTAGCTAAAAATATGTCAATATTTCATGTCACCAGGTCCATGAGGGTCTCCCACGGTTTCCCGGCACCATCTTGCTGCACGAGGTAGTTAGTCGGTGTTTAAAGGGGCAGGGGGAGGAAGGGGTTAGAAGCTTCTAGCAGCCATCTTGATTAGAGCACGTGTGTATAGCTTTATATATAATATATCGTGGAATGAGTAAATAGACATTTTCACTAACTAGGAAATATGTGCAGACCTTATTTCCACAACAATTAGCCTATACCCTAAAGGAGAGACGGGGGGTGGGAGAGATATAATTTCATAATTAATAACTAGAGTCTCTGAGAAAAAATATGAATTTTATTCCCTGTTTATTCCCTAAACAGATAAGCGCATAAATCCCCCCATACACAAAGCAATCATAAAATCTTACTTGTGTATAATAATATTATAACTGTCAGGTCAGATTGGTTTATTCAAATAATCCTTCTAATTAAACATTAAATTCTGTTCCATTCTCAGTTCATACCGATATGGCTGGAGGAGATTTTCACCTATCCCAACTGCAGAGCTGAAATAATTCTGGATTTCAAGCTGCAATAAAGGTATGTACCTCTAGAATTAGACTATACCCTAAAGGAGAATCGGGGGCGTGGGTGGGAGAGAGATATAATTTCATAATTAAAAACTAGAGTCTCGGACTAGGACATGTTATTCCCTAAACAGATAAGCGCATAAATCCCCCCATACACAAAGCAATCATAAAACCTTATTTGTGTATAATAATATTATTCAGGTTAAATTAGAAAGCTATAATGTCTGTCCGCTCAGTTTGGTTTATTCAAATAATCCTTCCAATTAAATATCAGATTGTGTTCCATTCTCAGTTCCTACCGATATGGCTGCAGGAGAGTTCCATCTATCCCAACTACAGAGCTGAAATAATTCTGGATTTCAAGCTGCAATAAAGGTATGTACCTCTAGAATTATACTATAGCCTAAAGGAGAGACGGGGTGGTGGTGTGGGTAGGGAGAGAGATATTATTTTATAACTGGTAACTAGAGTCTCAGACTTGGACGAGTTATTCCCACAACCGATAAACACATAAATTCCCCCATACACAAAGCAATCAGAAAATGTCACTTGGATATAATAATTCAGGTTGAATTAGAAAGCTATAATGTCTGTCCCCTCAGTTTAGTTTATTCAAATAATCATTTAATTAAATATTTCATTACATTTCATTCTCGTGGCTGCAGGAGAGTTCCATCTATCCCATCCGCAGAGCTGAAATAATTATGGATCTCAAGCTGCAATAAAGGTATGTACCTCTAGAATTTGACTATACCCTAAAGGATAGACGGGGCGTGGGTGGGAGAGAGA